CGCCCCGCCCACCCCCGCTGTCCCGCTTTCCCGCCCGCCTGTCAGCGGCCGCGGAGAAGGGGCGCAGCCATCCTGCCCGTCCCCTCAGCGCGGCGGGCCGGTATCTCTTCAGGGGAGTCCTCTCCTCTGAGCGCCGGGAGGAAGGAGACTTCGCCGGGTATCGCCCGGATCGGCGTTTCCTCCGCTCTCATCACCCTCCAGGAGCGGCGGAGAAAAGGATTTGCTCGCCCCCTTCCTCCGCCGGCGAGGGGAGCCCCCTTAAGCATTGCAGTGGCTAAAGTGGGTCAAAACGAGGAAGGTCTCACCACTTCGGTTACTGCAAGGAGGCAGGTTTTTCTTCCTTCGGTGTACAGCATGAGAAAGGAGAGAGCGCCCTGCCCAAGCTGCGTCCTGTGAATAGGTGTGAGAATAATTGGTATTGCTTTCTTGCCAAATAATCTGCTTCTCTCACGACTTGCTAGCATAAGCAGGCCAAAGCTGTGTATGTCACTCACCAGAGAACAAGGATCGCATGCCCATGTCAAGAATAGGTTAATTATGAGAGGTTTGTGGGTGAAGGACTAGGTATGTTACTCGAGGGCCAGAGAGGAGCCGATGAATGTGGCTTGTCCTAACTAAGCCTGTCCATTTACCTCCCAGCAAGATGTCCCAGATACTTTCCCAAATCCCAACTCCTTTGCTCCTGCCCTTTGTTCCACACTTCTGATAACCATTTGCAAGCACTGACTCTTGCCTTGCTCATTTGTCAGCATCAGCAGTAATCTCAAAATTCCCGATTCAGTACGCAACTCCTGTTTGTCAGACAAAATCATTTCTTTAAAACACAACTCCTCGTCAGATATCCGATCTGTCGATTGATTGCCCTTTATGGCAATTAACTGTCCTCTACCATATTGTACGATAGGTAAGTCAGTCATGGAGTTCTTTTGCTTAAAGAATTTGTGAACTATTTTGCTTTCCCCACCTACACCTTTGGTGAAATTTCCAGTTACTTCCCTTCCTCGTCCTCAGGGCAGGTGCTCTGGAGAAATGTGAATTTCATTGGATGTTGTGTAAAACTGCCAGTCTGGTATGAGAAATTCAAAGCCGTGAAGAACTTCATCTAATATGTCAGACTGGACAGGTCAAATAACTCTATTATCTTGAAAAAAATACTGAATTCATTTTAATTTACTAGCTGTTTCATATGCCTTCAGGTTAGACGTGCCTTTGGAGTAGCTTGTGTCACCACAGATACATCAGATGCCTTCATAGAGAATGGAGTTTTCTTCATAGTAACCAATTTTCAGTCAATTACTTGCATGGTAATAATTGTCCTGGTAGAGCTGTGTAGAACTAAGGTGCGTTGTTCTCACGGTCTGATAAATTTATAAGAAAAAAAGGGGGGAAAAATATGTTACAGCTCCTCAAAGGCATGATGTCTGTTTCAGGATACATGAATCCTTGAGTTGTGCAGTTAAAGATGTCACGTGAATGTTGCTTGTCAGTATTGTAAGAAGAGCTTAGACTGCTGCAGATGCAAAAGGTTTTCCTGTCATGGAAGTAACACATTACTGATGTGTAAAAAAGCTCATTTTTCTATGGGCAACATGATCCTTGCTAACTACTCTATGGTGATAAATGTAGTCCCATAAGGAATGAATATTTCTCCCCCTTTGTTATACTCTTAACTGGAAGATGTGTATTACCATTGTAATCACAGGTTATATAAACCTGATAAAGCAGTTTTTTTCCAGCTGGAACAGCAAAATGGTTTGGAATAGATGTTTTGGGCCACTTTAGTTTGGGGTGATGTAAGGAGTGTGCCAGTGTAAAAATCATTGAGTAGGATTTTGATTATGGTTGGGTAGTCAGATATTAGGAGGGAGGCTAACGACTCATGATTTGAGGATTAGGACACGTGAATTTCTGTATTAACCCATGTGGAAAACATTGCATCAACATTTAACTATGCTGTTGTTCTAGCCAGTCATAAGATCAAATTCTGTTGTTCCTGTGCTTCTCTGTCCTTTACTGCTGACATATCTGAGCAAAGAAAAGCCCCATGTGGGCTTTTCAGATTCGGGAAGATTTTGAATGAAAATTATAAAGCCTAATTTTCTTTTAAATGAAAATTAGACTTTGAAGTAACTGACTGGACTATCAGGAGTTTTGGCTGTGGCGTTCTGTTGATCAAAGAGTTTGATTCTATTGTGTTCTTATTTACATTTTATAAAGCTGATAGTTAAATTTATCCCACATTCTTTATTACTCTTGTAGAGGAAAATGTAAATTATACCCCATTTACTGTTATCTTATTGCATATGAAAATGGCTGTGCATTCTTTTTAATATCTCCAGACATTAATCGTACAAGACATAATGCTTAAAATGAAAGACTTGCTTATTTATCTGGAATCGTTTTCTTTGGTTGCACTGATTCTTAATCTACCACCAGGGGGCAATAATTCGATTTCCTAAATCTGATCTTTTAACATTAATACATACTAGAATAGTGGTTTCATTAAAATTTTTGAGGGACTGCATGTGAAAGTCAAAACATAATTTTCTTAAAAATGCTTTATTTGTGTAATTTACTATTTTACTCTGCACTACTTAGGCATGTAGGTTTTACTTTTATTTTGAGCGTATGAAGTTAGACTGCTTTGTAAAAGTTTTTACTGGTGAAGTTCATGCAGCAATATAATGGTGCAAGGTTTGGATTTCACGCAAAACAGGATTTTTTGTGGGTTTTATATTGCCATTCTAATATTTAAAAATTTGTTTTGAATGCCATTACTTTCCTATTCTTTTTTTTTTTTTTTTGTTACACTAATGTCCTTTTAATATTTATCAGCATATATATGTAATCCTGAATTTGGGAACTATATCACCTGACAACTACCTTTATATCCTTATATGATATGTATTTGTTTTGTTTACGTACATAGTAGTTCCAACATACTGCAGTTAAAGACAAGGCTGCCTTCTGTAAAAACCTGTACAATTCTGTATCAAATGCAATCTTCCCTGTAATGATAATAATCTTGTAACTGGATCTTCCATTAGGTGCCTATGTATTGTTGAAAAGATGAGCCAGAGGAAATATCTTCCTGCAAAGATGCAAAAGTACAAAATCACGAAAGACAGAAATAGCTGTAAGTATCTGTTTAAACTACATAGAATCATCCATATTTTTGTATATTAGTATGCCTGTCTGTATAAACTTCCTAGCCTCCCTAAGGTCCTACTAAGGTCCTTACCACTGCATAACGATTAGGCATAAAGGTGTGGAACATTACTACATAATTTTTTATGCTGTAAAATATGTTGATTTAAATCTGTTTCTGGTAGTAGTACAGTCTTTCTTGATGTGCTCAGCTTAATCTGACTGAAAAAATTTGTTCCTGTATACATGGCAAATAGTCATCCATTAATTTAAGAAGGCAAATCTCTTATTTCTTCACTTTGTTGTATGAGGAAGATTGAGTCAGTTAATCAGATCTGAGCAGCACAATGCTAAACAGCATTCTCTTTTCTGATGTCCTGAATGGCACACCTGAAATAAAATTAAAAGTCATGGATGTGGTATCATGTTGGAGACGTAGGTTTTAGGACGTGATATAAACTGAAGCTCCTACTTTTTGTATCTGTAACCCAGAAAAGAAATTATATAGATGGAAAAAGTACCCTTAAGGTGACATTAGGGTTATGTAAATAGCAAGTGCTTGCTGCATATGAACACTGGTGTCTTTTATTGAAAAGGTTCGGTGAATAATGTGTTCTTGGTAAGGTTTTGAAACTTGGCAGCAAGCCATCTCCCATCTGAAAGAGTCTGAGGGTTTCTAGGCAAAGGTCTTAACAGAGCTTGCCAGAAATTTTCATCCATGCTAAGGAGTTTATAAGCAGAAGAAGATTCCTGTTGCAAAAGGGCATTATTATATTTATTGTTTGTACCTTTTGATACAAATTTTTTTGCAGAGGAGGTGCAAAATTGCCTGATGTATTCAATTTTGTCAGCTTTAAATGAAGTATGTCCTCATAAGATGGTTATCTTTACATCACGAGTTTCAAAGTATTTTTGAAGGTTTTTTTTTTTACTTTAGGTAAAGATTTCCCCATTGCAGTTTTTGTATTATTTGAAATTTATTTTATTACTTAATTTTATCTCATAATATGAAAAAGCGTTCTATAGCATCTACTTGAAATTAGAGTAACTTGCTCTTATGTGTGCACTGAGGCTTATGATCTAGCACATTCATTGATGGTGGGGTTGTCTCTAGGTGCATAAAAGTCATTCTAACCTAACAGGGAAGTGTTTGGGTTGGCCACTGCCATCCTTTCTTCCAGTTTCTCACTCTGCCTTATAGCAGTGAGAAAATTAAATTGCTGAGAAATGTTGGGGCACCTGTTCTGTGCTGAGGGAAGGGTACAGGAGAAAGAGATTCTGGGAAGATGGATTACCTGCCACTGGGAGGCATACTGTAGGAGGGTGCTGGAAAAACAGAAAACACTGGGAAAATGCAGGAAATCATTTAGATTTTGGAGGCACCCGCATTCCAACCGTCCATGCTGTGTTCATCCAGCCCCAGGGCTTTCTTGTTTCACCATACCCCTTGTGAACAGGTCCCAGCCCTCCAGAAAGGTTAGACCACCTCCATAGCCAGAGCATTAAAGCTCAGCAGACTTTTCTACCCCTCTTCTTATCCTTTCCTTCCTCTCGCTTTGCCACCACAAGCAGAATAGAAAGTAGGTGTTACCACTGATAAAACAAAATAATTTGCCATTGTGGAATGGCAAAATTCAGTTTTGCCTGCAATACTGAGGAACCTTA